GGATGAAATCGGTACTTTGCCGTAAAAACAAACGCATTCTCTTCGCGTGAATGAAATAAAAAATGGCGGCGTTTGGTGGATAATTCCTCCGCGTTTACAATTTGACCGTCTTTAGTAGTTGTTATTTAAAAACATTTCAGTTTCAGATAACTTTGTAATGGTTGTTACGGATAACTATCGTCATTTCAAAAGATTTCGGCTGGGAAACTACTTATTTTTAACTTGCGCACCAATTACGATGCGCTCCCAGACTTTGTCTATGGAGGTACGCAGGGCTGTGATGGGGACATCTGTCAACCAAACGCGTTCCCGTACACACAGCACTGTACGCAGGGCTAAGCTTATCAAAGCACTGTTCTTAAAAACAGTGTATGGGTAAACAGGCGCTCGGAACGTTTCTTGGATAATAAAAAATCACCTAAAATAGGTTCGGCATAGTTAGTCAATCACCAAAATTGAAAATCAAAACACCAGAGCAAATAAACCAAATCTCCTACCCGGATATTTTGAAGCAGAGACCCGTACACTTCCCAAACATGTATGTGCGTACTGCGTCATAAAAAAACGATGCTGATATTTTTTATATTGCGAACTATTAGCTCAATTTTTATTTTTCAGGAAAATTAAATTTTAAAATACAACATATAATATAACATACATGTACAACAATACAATATTTAAATTTTGAGGTTGTTTTGATTTCATTCTTAAAATGGTACATGTATAACATTATTATTTTCATGGTAAAACTATGAGCAGCACCAATCTATCAACACAAATTAAATTTGTCGAGAGAAAATGAAAATCCTCAGTAGTACATCTCTGCAGTGAATGGATTTTTAGTGTGAATTGAAGGACGATATGCGCAAGATATTATTAGCAAAAGTGCTGATTGTTGCACAAATCTCGGACTAGTAATGCAACAGACTCGCAACGTGGCGTTTTCTTTTAAAGTAATGCTTGCCACGGCAACCCCTGAGCGATCTCATGTTTTCCATTTCCAGAAATTAAGAATAAATAGAAATATACTGGGCTATTTTTATACAAAACTATGACGGAAGTCAAACAAAATCAGTGAAACTCGAAATAGCAACAATACTGACACACAATAGACCATTGAAACAGTTGCTGAACACGCTGATACGCTGAGAGATATCATGTACATGACACTAGCTATCCGATGTTTCAGAATCACGGAAGACGAAAACAAAACGGGTAACACACAAAGTGGTATGATCGCTGAAAACGCAGCAATTTGGTCTCTCCGAAAAAAATATTGGAAACCTTCCGCAAAATCCCCAACAGCAAGAAAAATCGTTTCTAAGTTGCTCATTATATATTCAAAAACTATTCAATTACTTGTAACTCACCTAATTGTTGCTCAATTCTTAAAATTCTTACACAGATGCAAAGGTCAAAATATCCAGAACGCATTTCCCATTGCATTAAAAATGTTTGGATCCGTTTTATGAAGAAATACGCAATTTCCGAAGAAGGGCAAAATGTGCAGTGTAAACTTCGACGGTGTCTATGCCAATGCTACAGAGTGTGGCACACATAGCATGTACAATTAAGCCGGTTAACACCTTAAACAATAGACGTTGCGAGTCTGTTGTATTACTAGTCTGAGCACAAATCAATGAGCACAGAAAGTACTGAAGTTTAACTAGATAATGCCTGAGATGCTTGTAACACATCAAAGTCAGTATAGTACATATTTCGGACAGATCAAAACTAATTCATGTTTGCCACTAGGAAGGCACATTGTGCTGTGGGCAATCATTGTTTATCACACATGTAAAGAAGGTTGCCCATTCAGTCACAATAGATAGTTTTATGTTATATTTCTTCAAATATGTGGCTACTGTAAAAAAAAACATGCATGTTCCATGTGTGAATTTTCAAGTCTGTTCAAAACTTTGTTCTGTGTTTCATTTTCTGGATCAATATATCAGTATACTGTAGAATCATATTTAATTTCACCATTTTCAAAAATTTATCATATTCGCTGAATTTTAAATTCAGAACTTTCCAGTGAAAGAATAGTAATTTTACATACTCACGTGGATTTAATGTAGCGGATTTCAGTTATCAGTGAAAAATATTGCAATTAAAGCTAAGCAAAAATTAATGTATTTAGAGTAGTTCATTTCTTAATTCCACAGTATCGGGTAGTTTGTTAAGTGTGACGTTCTGACAGATTTTCAAGTGTTTTTATTTTCTACCACAGAGAGAGATTGAGGTTGTTGATTCAGGTGATGACAGCTCATCAAGGAGTATTAGACCATTGAAAAGACGACGTGCTGGGTCTCGTGAAAGCAACCGTAGCAGTGATGTAGGTGAAGACTCTATGATTGGTGGGTAAGTATCAGGAAGACCACATTGCCCATTGTGTGTCAAAGATCATAGATGGGTTTTGTAAATGACTACTGTAAAACATGTTTAAATAGCTGCATGCTATTTTAGCGAATTTGCCTCCATGCATGATTTAACTGAATCTTAATTTAGCGAAAATGTCTACAATTTCATTTTAAATTAGTGACATCTTGAATTACAGATTAGCTAAATTAGCTAAAAAGACATGTTTTACAGTATACAATCAAACATGTGTTAGTTACCACCTCTATATAAAGACCACCTGCCTATAGTGACCGAAATGTTGAATTGTTCGAGTTACGGACATCGAGTTACAAACATTGAGTTACGAAAACATAAAGTTACAGAAATTACCATGCCAACATTTTTAAAACCATTGTAACTCGATGTTCAATTAACAGTTAACAGAACTTCGAGTTACGGGCAACATACATTTTGGTTTTTGTTGAACTTCCACATTCTGTAACTCGAAGTTCAAATAACAGTTAACCAAACTCAGAGTTTCAGGCAACATATAATGTTTGTTTTGTCTAACTTTCAAATTTGATAATTCAAACTTTAACTAACAGTTATTCAAACTTCGAGTTGGTAACTCAAAATTTAATTAACAGTTAATCAAAGTTTGAGTTACGGACAACATACAAATTTTTGGTGTTTAATGTCCATATTAAGTAAGGCCAGACTTTTTTTATTCCTTGTTTCTCGAGTTTTTATAAGGCAATTTTTTTGAGGAGGGTGGAAAAAAATAAAATTTTTTCCATTAGATTTTTGTGATTCTCAAAGAATATTGAGTGAGATCATTGATCGGAGAGAAGAAATGAAATAAAATTTTATTCCATGTATAATCTTGTTTCTCATCTGTGCAGACTTCGATACTTTAATCATGATACTCCCACTTTTTGCGCTTACAAGTCGGCGGGCGTGAGAAATTACACTGAAATAAAGTTTTATTTTTATTTCATTTTCGGCTGTTTATTCGACGGGTTCGCGAAACAAGGGATAATAAAGGTCTGGCCTAACTCAAATTTTAATTAACAATTATCATAACTTTGGCCGCGGTTATGGCAATGTGGTCCCTAGCTAATGACGGCCAAGTGAATTTCTAATATTTTCTGGAATCTAACCGTGACATTTTGGTTTTTGGCGTAAGTTCAACTGATGAATTGGTGGCACGAAATCACAATTTAAAGTTTAGCTGTAGTTTTCAAAGTTATGCTTGTGGTGGCAACATCGCCCTTTAGAAAATAGGATTTTGAAATGAACAACGATACGCTGTGGACTGTCGTGGCCCAACGATTAATAGATCAAGGGCAAGCGGAATCGATGTATCCAATGTATCGTGTAATGTTTTAGTCTCGTAATTTTGTTCACAGACAGCTTCATTTACAATACGATCCACTTATTAGAGGGTGTACACCATGATGATTACAGAATTGTCACACACTTCTTTCAATAATTCCTCTATGCTCGGATATTGAGGGCCAACTGGCATCCCGTCGTAAGAAGTCCCCTGTTTGACAAGAAAACTCATATTCTCAATGTCAACAATTTTTTCGATCTCCATTTCAATTAGCAAGGCACGAATCAGTAAGCGTGGCTTAGTTCTAAAATATAATGACCTCACGTACAAAACGAGCACATGTCTATCTATATGAATATTAAAAAGTCGGCGTCATACATTCACATCTACATACCGCCTTTCACTGTTGACCACGCAATAAGCTTGCTTGTTTTAACCTTTGGGCTTGGTCGCTGTGCGCGTTTCTAATGCCGCAACAATGTTATTGTTATTATTGCAACACAACGTGACAGAATTGACTAATGTGAAGATTTGAGAATCTGTTTGTCTGATTTGACGCGTTGAACCAGACACGGACGAAAGTCGTGCATTGTTCAATTTACAATGAATCGTTATATGATAAAAGAGAGCGACTTGGAGATGATGAAACTATGGAATGACGTGGACGAGGAAGTATCTATGTATACGGTCTGTGGTGGTTTCCAGGCTCCAGCAGGATGTCGACAAGAAGTAGTACAATGTAGTACAGGTGAATAAGCCCAAAACTTGAAAAGTTGAAACAAGCAATCTTAATGCATGGTCAATAAGGAAAGACAGTGTATGGATGTTTGAACAATAATAAAAATCTACGTTGCCGTAACTCAAAGTTGAAGTTATGTTAACTGTTAATTAAATTTTGAGTTAATAATTCGAAGTTTGAATAACTGTTAATTAAAGGTTGAATTACAACATTTGAAAGTTAAACAAAACAAAAAATATATGTTGCCCGTAACTTGAAGTTTGGTTAACAGTTAATTGAACAACGAGTTACAATTAAGACGTGGTTTAATAAAAGTGGGCATTGTTTCAAAAATATGGATCATTTCTGTAATTTGATGTTTTCGTAACTCGATGTCCGTAACTCGAACAATTCGACATCTCATAGTGGCCACTTTTAGGCAGTCCCAAGACATAACATAGCAGCAACCTGTGTATAAAGACCATCTGTCTTGTGTGGCCACTTTTAGGCAGTCCCAAGACATAACATAGGAGCAACCTGTGTATAAAGACCATCTGTCTTGTGTGGCCACTTTTAGGCAGTCCCAAGACATAACATAGGAGCAACCTGTGTATAAAGACCATCTGTCTTGTGTGGCCACTTTTAGGCAGTCCCAAGACATAACATAGAAGCAACCTGTGTAATTAGACCATCTGTCTTGTGTGACCACTTTTAGGCAGTCT